GTGATGATGAGACCACAGACCCTCAAGCCTTTGGACTAGATCATGGTGTTCCTGGCCACAGGCCTTTCTCTCCAGTGTCTCCTAGTGAACATGGCACAGTCGTTTCTCCCGGCAGCACTGTAATTTTGGTTGTGGCCCCTCGCCAGGTGATTGGCATGCACTACTTCTCTCCTGTGGACAAGATGCAGCTTCTGGAAATCATCACGACCGACAAAACCTCCAAGGACACCACAGCCTCTGCCGTGGCGGTGGGTCTCAAGCAGGGCAAAGTCATCATTGTGGTGAAGGTAAGGCCCAGGGGCAGGTGCAGATTTCCTGAGCCTGCAGAATTGTGTGTGACGATTCTTGAGGGAATACCAGCTTCTACAATGACCACTGGGTTGTCTCCGAAATGACCGTAGTATTGATTGTCCCGCTGAGATGGGGTAGTGTCTAGACTCTGGCTGGTTCTCTCCAGTGAGTCCAGACCTCAAAGGTTACATGAAGCCCACACTGTTCAGGATGGCTTCTTTTCCAGGGTAACACTGAGCATTCTGAGTGTTTTAAGTCAGCTGAAACCGTGAAATGAAATCTGGGAAAGGAAGACTGGGTGTGGACATGGGTAGTTCAACCAAAGCAGGACCGACCGGCCATTAGCTCTCTTCCTCTCCCTTGGCAGGATGGACCCGGCTTCTACACCACCAGGTGTCTTGCTCCCATGATGTCTGAAGTCATGCGAATCCTCCAGGTGTGTATGGACCTTGCCAGATTTTTTACTCTGTCCTCCAAGCTGAAGATGTCCAGATGAGGGGCAGGTTCCCCTAGAATACACCACTGATTTTCCCTGGAGGCCATTTTGTGCCTCCCTTGGGGCTGAGACTGCCCAATAGGCAGAATGTAAATTCCTCTCTGCTAGCTCCCTGAGCATTACAGAAACCAAAGGCCTTCCAGAATGCTCAGCCTTTATACTCCTGAGGTGAGGACCTTCAGACCAGAGCCTGCTTGGCCTGACTGCACTGTATCTGCTTCTGTTCTGCACACACATGTGCATGTTCACAGGCAGGCAGACACACACACACACACACACACACACACCTATCTCTACCTCCATCCAGATCATTCCATGGCACTTCCCTAGTAGTCCTGGTAGCCATGGTATCTCCTTAGTCCTAAGATTCAGAATCACAAGCAAGAGCTGAGTGATCTAGTTGACTCTAAGCTTTCTTAAAGGGTGTGGGAAAGCTTCGGGGTTTCTGCTTATACTTTCCTGGGTGAAGCGCTGGTTCTAGACCTGACCAGGTGATGTCCGAGAAAAAAGTGGTTTCGCACAGGCTATATCTGTGGGTTATTACAGGCAACCCTGGTGTTGTGAGGGGAAATGGCTGTGCTCTGAGCCCCTGCTTTACTTCCTGTTCAGGAAGGAGTTGACCCTAAGAAGCTGGACACCTTGACCACAAGCTTCGGCTTTCCTGTGGGGGCCGCCACCCTGGCGGATGAAGTGGGTGTGGACGTAGCGCAGCATGTAGCGGAAGACCTGGGCAAAGCCTTTGGGGAGCGGTTTGGGGGTGGCAACGTGGAACTGCTGAAGCAGATGGTCTCCAAGGGCTTCTTGGGTGAGTAGCACCAGCGTCAGGCGTAACACTGATACAGAGTTTGTGCACAGCTGGCTGAGAGCAGAGCGAGTGCAGGAGTGGGTTTCCTAAACACAGCCCTGGACAGAGAGTCTGTTAGGCTGGGTTGTAGAGTAGGGGGAAAGGCAGTCTGGGTTTACAGGGCTCTGCCATGTATGCCAGATAGATCACCGTGTTCCTCCTGCAAGTTCTGTATCCAGGTTTGACCCTGTGGTCTGGCCACCCAGGGAAGTTCAGCCTTTCTATTCAGAACGTAAAATTAAGACTGCAGTAAAATCACCTTTTGGGCCTAGGCCTCCTGTGTGGACACAAAAGTCTGGGGTGGGATGGGGGTGGATTTTCTCGTTCAGATTCCGATTTCCATGCCCCAGGTGCTTCGCACTTCAGCAGAATGATAGAAGCTCCCAGCAGACAGGAGTTCTCTGCTAGGTGAAGGGCAGTGACTAACATAGTCTCTTTCTTCTCAGGTCGCAAGTCTGGGAAGGGCTTTTACATCTATCAGGAGGGGTCGAAGAATAAGAGCTTGAACTCTGAGATGGATGGGATCCTGGCGAGCCTGAGGCTGGCTGCCAAACCTGAGGTGTAAGTTGACTGCTTGCACAAAAATGATTTCTCTGGGAGCTCAAAGCTCCGAGGCCCCTTTTCCATCCTCTTTTATGACCCAAAGCAGGCAAAACCCTGTACAACTAAAGCCCGGCTTGTGCTCTCGCACAGGTGTCCAGGTGAGAGCGGGCAGGCCTAGGGCAAGCCTTGCCTGCGTTCTTTGTTGTTTTGTTTTTCAAGACAGGGTTTCTCTATGTAGTCCTGGCTGTCCTGGAACTCGCTCTGTAGACCAGGCTGTCCTCAGACTCAGAGATCCACCTGCCCTGCCTCCCAAGTGCTGGGATTAAAGGCATGCCCCCCCACCCCTGCCCGGCTATAAGCCTTGCCTGTGAAGGTGGGAGATGGGTTTGCAGGCCCTGCACCCCCTTGCTCTTGGCTAGCTTTGGGAATGCACTGATGTTGCTGATCTGTCAGGAAATGATGGCACCTCTTCTGTGCCAGGCCATTTCGGGTGCTCAGTTTCACACCAGTTAGGGAAAGTCCCACTCTTTTTCCAGGAGATGGGTTGTGTTATCTTTCGGGGCGGTGTGGTTCCTCCTGGCCACTGGGCTCCCTAGGGCTCACCCACACCCCTCATGCTGCACCCCAGCTCCTCCGGTTGTTTCTCTGGCTAAATGTTCCTTCCTGTTCCTTCTCCTCCTCAGCTCCTCTGACGAGGACATCCAATACCGTGTGATAATGAGGTTCGTGAATGAAGCAGTCCTGTGCCTGCAGGAAGGGATCCTGGCCACACCTGCAGAGGGAGACATCGGAGCGGTGTTTGGGCTTGGCTTTCCGCCGTGTCTCGGAGGTCGGTGTGCAGCCTGGGAAGCTGGCCTCCTCTACGCTTGTGCTTGTTACTGTCCCTTTCACTGACGTCCTGTCTCTGCTCAGGGCCCTTCCGGTTTGTGGATCTGCACGGTGCTCAGAAGGTAGTGGACCGGCTCCGGAAGTACGAGTCTGCCTATGGAATACAATTCACCCCGTGCCAGCTGCTCCTCGACCACGCTAACAGCTCCAGCAAGAGGTTCTACCAGTGAGCAGGTCCTCCCGTCCTGCCCCGCCAATGCACTAACCCAGACCTGGCAGGGCCGCTGTCAAGATTTTCAGGAATCAGGAGGAAGATAGGTTTGCTCCTCCCTCACAGTGCCTTCAGCCCTGACCAGCTCTTCCTCCTGCTGAAAAGTCTGACTGTGAATTAAGAGTTTGGACGTCATGGTGGAGGGTGAGCCCCAAAGTGCTCCTTTTGCCAGCCCTGCCGGAGGCCCAGCGCAGCAGCTATGAGTAACCCAGAATGTCTGCTGCCTGTGCCCCCAGGCGGCCAGTGGGGACTGGCCGTGGGGAGGGCATTTCTGCACCCAGCCAAACACAGGGTGACAATAAACCCAGGCCGTCGGCCTGTGCCTGCCTGCCCTGTTTTCTTGTCTGCCTTCTTTAAGCACCCTCAGTAATAAAGCCTGCGCTGTGGCGCACAACTGTGCTGGGGGATGTTGAGGCAGCTGCTTGAGAGGGAGATTGTGACGCCAGAAACAGACTTTGTGTGCCCATGCCCGTCAGCCGGGCTGCCCACGGCGCAGTTGCAGCCCTGGCCCGCTAGAGCAGTGGGAACAGTAGGGGCATGGTGTACCAGGGTGCGAAAGACACTTCTTTCCCCAAACTCATTTCCTCACTGCGCCATTGTATGCAGTTTTCCCCTTGGCATGCCTCGTCCCTGGCTTCTCAGGACGTCTGCGGGAGAGAGCTATGCAGAGGATAACACTCGCCTGGTCCTTTGGAGTCCTGCAAAGCCGGGGAAGACGGATGCCTGCAGACCAGCCCCACCTCATGTGGCCTCAGTTCTTCCCACCTTGGTGGCAGAGTTCTCACACTCTAACTCTGCCAACAGGACCGGGCTGTATAAGCAGTGTAGGCTCCTGAGTTCCACTGAGTCACTGGGTTTGTGTAGAATGCTAATCAGGGCCCCTCACACTTGGCCTTCTAAACCCAGATGGTGCTGACGCCTGCCTCTGTCCTGCTTGTAAGGGGAGCGTATCTGGGGCTCCACTCGACAGTTGCAGTTCACTGCCAGAAAGAGCAGCTCTAAGGTTGAGTCATTGCAACTGGATTTTCAGGTGGCCAGAAGGTAACCTATGCACAAAGGCCAAGAGCAGGTGTCTACTGTGGGACTCAGGGTCCCCAGGCAGCTGGCGGTGCTAACACTTCCACTGGGACCATGAGTGGCACTGAGCTATGCCTTCTGGTCTTCCCTCTAAGCAGGAAGGTATAGATTCTGACACAAATTACTTAAGACTCAAGGTGGTGGCACACGCCTTTAATCCCAGCACCCTGAAGGCAGAGGCAGGTGGATCTCTGTGAGTTCAACACCAGAGCAAATTCCGGACCAGACATGGCTACACAGAGAAACTATGGGGGGAGGGGGGTAGGCTGAAGAGATGGTTCAGCGGTCAAGAGCACTGACTGCTCTTCTAGAGGACCCAGGTTCAAGTCCCAGCACCCACATGGAAGCTAACAACTGTCTGTAAATCCAAGATCTGACACCCTCACACAGACATACATGCAGGCAAAACACCAATACACATAGAAGAAAAAGATAAAAAATAAATTACTAGAGGTTAAAGATTCTTGTGGAAGGGTACAGTTTGATAGACTGGAGAGTGCTTCCGTGTGTATCTAGGAGTTTAAGAGTAGGCTACGCACACCATTCCAAAGTCCTTCCGTGCCCAGAGACGTACGTACATATTGTACCCTTGGTCTTCACAGCCTCAACAAAAAAGGAATCAGCCAACACCCAAGGCCCCACACTTTCACTAGTTTGTGGTCTAGCCTTTATTTCCCTAATCCTTGAGGATTCATTAGTTATGAGAAGACAAACAGCTTCCGTGTTCCCCTCTGACAGGCACAGGTGTGGGCAGGGCTTAACTACTGGGAAAGAAAATAAATACCTAAGTAGGTCAGGGAAGGCAGACAAGAAAACTGCCACCTTCTGCCCCCCCACGCCAGCGGTCATGAGGGGTGTGGTCCTTGTTAGAGTGCAGTGGGCCTGTGCATTAGCCAAGCCTCTGGCTGTCATACAGACCACACTTGAGACTGCAGGGCCCAGAGATCACCTGCGAACCATGTAAGCACAGGGCCGAGCTCTGGAACCAGCATATTTCCTTTACCAGTCACACTGTCCTGTCCCAGTGACAACAAGGAAGACCCCAGTGTCCATCAGAGCCAAACGCCGACAGTGGGAGACAGGCAGCTTGGGAGTATCTGACCGCTGCTTGTTTCTAGAATCAAAGGGCAGCTGGCCTGCATCTAGCCACTCTCCCAGGAACCGTCCTCAGACTGCCCCAGGGGAAACCACAGGTAGCTGTGATGACGACAGAGCGAAGCCCAAAGCAGAGGCTCGGGGCTGGGCATACACAGGCGTCACTGGTTCATCTGGGCCAAGTGCCTAATCATGGGGGCAGCCGGAAAGAGGGTACCTCACTGAAGTGACACCCCTAACTCTGGAGCAGGGGCAGACCAAACCCCCAGAGCTTGAAGGAGAGGGCGCTTTGGGGAAGCTACATCTTCCCTTGCTCTCTGGCCTGAACATAAAGGGCTGAGAAGTGTATGCTGTCTGAAAGGCTGCATTCTGCCTCCATGGAGCCGCCTGCTGACACACATGCCACCTTCCCTGATGTGGAATGGCAGCAAAGGACTCCCCAGGGCAGGTGCAGAACAGCACCTCCTCCCCAAGTTTTCTTCCCAAACGCAGGACATGCTCCTGCAGGGTCTGTCCCCGAGGACCACAGTTCCCAGTGTGTCTCCCCTGGGACACTCAGAACCTACAGAGCAGCCTCAGTCTTGGCCCAGATTTTCCCTGCGGGAAGGACCTGCCCCTGGGAGTGCTGGTTCTGGCCGACCCCATGGCCTCTGCTCCCAACATTCAGGCTGTGCAGCCGCCGCCGGCCGGATGTTTCAGATCTTGGGTCTCCAGCCTTTGATGAACTGCATGATCTTCTTGACCTGAAGCTTGGTGAGGTGGAAGTCATCAGCCAAGATGTCTTCACTGAGCTGCACGAAGATGCTTCCATCAATGCGTTCTCGGGCAAAGACGCTCACCACGTCCTCTGAGAGCCCAATGAAGCGCAGGCTGCGTGAGACCTCTTCCAGGGAGAGGGCGGACAAGTCTGCTGGTGGCTGCCAGGAGGTGGCATCCCGGACTCCAGCGGCTGTGACGCCCTCCCTGGGACTGCCAGGAGACCCTTCAAGGCCCCCTTGGGTGAGAAAGAGTAGGGTTCCTCCTGCCTCAGGCCCCTGCAAGGCAGCTGGTGACAATGCGGCGGGGACCTGCCTCAGCACCAAGCCCTCAGGCTCAAAGGCCTTGGGGGGGCCAAGTGGTGAAAGGCAGGGTGCAGACCCAGGTGCCCCCACAGCTCGGGGCTCCTGGCAGCGCCGCAGCTCCAGCTCGGGAGGACCAGCCTGCCCCAGCTCAAATGGGTCCAAGGGCTCCAGCGCCGGCTCCTGCCACTCGGAGGATGACAAGGAGGAGGAGTAACCTTGGCCCTGAGGGCCTGGGCCTGGTGAATGTGTGGGGCTGGAGGTTGCCAGGGCACCCGAGGTGGATGTGGGCCCAGAGGAAGAGGCTGCAGGAGTACCTGAAGGGTGGGCAGGCCCAGAGAAGGGGTTGAGCGCACCGAACGGAGCAAAGCGCTTCTGGGGATGGGAGGGCTTGAAGAGAGGTGGGCAGCCATGGTAGTTTTTAACCACTGGGGTGTCCGCCCCTACGAGGGAGGTGGTTCGAGCACTCGGGGGCTCTGCTAGGGCTCGTGAGACCTGGCTGGGCTGAGTGGTGGTAGAAGGCATGGGTCCCGGGGGCGGGCGACTAGAGGGTTCGCTGGCTTTGCAATCTCCCCAGGTGCAAGGGTAGCAATACAGGGAGTATGAGTCCGGTGACGGGGAGCCGCTACCACTGCGGGATCCTGCCCTACAAAAAGAGACAGGCACACAGGGTGTGCACATGAGGCAGAGATGGACACGACAGTCACAGGTTCCCCACAGCCCGCAGCAGGAGACTATCCCTCCACTCTCACCAGAGCTAGCCAGCCCGACAACCACAAAGTGTGGGACCCTCTTGAATCCCCAAAGTCCCCAGGTCATGTCAGAACATGCAGGAGAAATTATAACTGAGAAACCCCAAATTGAAAAACAGGTGATCTTAAGGCTGAAGATTGGACTCAGTGGTTAAGAGCACTTGTTGCTCTTGCTCAAGACCCAGGTTCAATTCCCGTCACCCACATGGTGGCACATAACCATCCATAACCCCAGTTTCAGGGGACCTGCTGCCCTCTTCTGCCCTCCATACATACATGCAGACAAAACACTCATACACATACAATCAATAAATCTAGAAGGAAGGAAAGAAAGAGGGAGGGAGAGGGAGGGAGGGAGACAGAGACAGAGACAGAGAGACAGAGAGAGAGAGACAGAGAGAGGGAGGGAGGGAGGGAGGGAGAGAGAGGGGGGGGAAGAGAGAGAGAGAGAGAGAGAGAGAGAGAGAGAGAGGGGGAGAGAGAGAGAGAGAGAGAGAGAGAGAGAGAGAGAGAGAGAGAGAGAGAGAGAGAGAGAGAGAGAGAGAGAGAGGGAACAAGGGTGCTTTCCTGCAGCAGAACCGCAGTGCAGGGATGACCACCCACCACCGCTCCACGGGTCTGAGCAAAGTCGGGGACCAAGGCAGTGAGTGAGTGACTCACCCATCCTGCAGGCCAGAGGAGTAATAGGAGAGGTTGGAGCTGGGCGAGTGGACAGGCTGCAGCTTGGGGAATCGGGGCGGCACTGGCGGGCTGCCTGTGAGCCTGCCACAACTGCTGCCACCCCGAGGAGGTACGGGAGGGGCATAAAGGAGGCGGCACTCTTCCTTTACCTGCAGACAGAAGGTGACGGCCTCACTAGGCAGCTGGCCTCCTCATCTCACTTCCCAGGGGGGACTGCCGATCTGAGCCTGACACCTTATCCCACCCAGCAGGGAGACTGCCCTGTCTAGGTGACCCAGCTGTCCACCTGGCCCATCTACAGCCTATTTGGCCCTCACACTCGATCCACCATAGTCCCCCATTCCACCATAAATTCACTGTAAATATTAGTAGATTGGGGGAGGGGCAAATAGAGATACTGGGGGGGTGCGGGGTTGGTGACAAGAAGGACAAATGGGAGGGACAGGATCTACCACCTGGATCCTTCCATATTAAGTTCCCCAAAGAGTGCGCTAATATAATAAATAGGTGTGACTATGAGGGAAATGTCCTGAAGATAATGGGGACCTGTTAAAAATCCTCCTCAGCGCAGAACTTCTCAGAACCTATTATGTGGTTCTAACGCCCAAGGAACCTAAGGGTTGCTGGAAATGATTTGCGACATTTAGGGCATGTCGGAACTTTCCCTTCGGGTGACTCTGTTTCCAGTTCATCCTTAGTTCTCCTTGCCTTGCGGCTTGCTCTGGTCTGTTCCCCTCTCCCTTCCCCTCTTAGCTCTGGCCATCCTGTCACAACCCAGGAGCCTGGGTGTCAATACCTTTGTGGCCCTCTAAAACCTGCCTAAGTTCCCTCCAGGACACAGCAGAGCCGACTCACCGCCTCGGATTTGGGGGGCACAGGAGGCGGTGGTGCCTCGGGCTCATGACATGGGGTCCCCACGGTCCCGAAGGAGATGAGGTCGGGCCCTGGCAGCGGCCGGACACGGGCATCCGCGAGGTTCTCGGGGGCCTGATGCACCCACAGCTCCTCGTAGGGGATCTCGGCGCACGCGGCCGCGGACTCGGGCGCGCCTGCCCAATCGGGGCTCACGTACTCTTGGTCGCCGTCGCCGGGCGCGGGCAGGGCCGGCCCGAGGCGACCCGGTGGTCCAGGTGCGCGGACCGGCCCGGGGGCGCGCGGTGCGGGCAGACAGAGGCGCGCCCGGCGCGGGCTGGCACAGTCGTCGGCGAGCTCTGCGGGCGCCTCCCGCACAGCCGTGGAGTACTCGTCCGGATCGAAGCGCTCGCGACAGTAGGAGGCGCTGTCGCGCACCAGGCGCTCGACGCGCGGGTCCCCGGCTAGCAAGCCCTGCGGCAGAGCGAAGCGCGGCGTGTCGGTGAGCAGCAGGAAGTGCAGCGGCGCCGGACCCTCCCGGCGCAGCGCCAGCCCCAGCACCACCGTCTTGGAGATGATGCTGACAAGCTTGTAGCAGTGGCCCTCCCGCACCGGGTGTAGGTCGTAGGGGTTGCGTGGCGGCCGGCTGGGCACCAGCACGTTCACCGGCAGCCGCACGCGCTCGATGATGGCGCGCACCGTGTGCTCGCCCTCCTGCATCTGCAGCTCCAGCGGGCTGCGCGTGCTGAAGCGGCCCTGGCACTGGAAAGGCAGACTCAGGCTTTCGTTGGTGCGGTGGTTCATGCAGATGAGGCACGGCATCTTGCCTTTGACGGGCCTGGCGGCCCCGCCACCACCCCCCGCGGTCCCTACGCTCCCCGGGCCACCCATTCCGGCCAGGGCCCCAGCGCGGCCCAGCTTGCGCAGGAGCGTGGTGAAGCGCGAGCGCTCCTTGGTGGTCTTGGCGCACAGAATCTCTGCCTGGCCCATGAGAGTGAGCTCGTCGCCCGCGTGCAGTGTGAAGTTGTACACCTCGCTGTCCTCGCTGAACTCGCCTGACACCACCTGGGGAATCCCAGAGACAAGGTGAGGCTCGAACCAGGGTCCCAAGGAAAGTCACACACCGCTGAGCTTCCAGCTCCGCAGAGTCTCTGGTCCTTTCCTGCAAGAGCACCGGACTGGGACTGGAGAAAAGCTGTGCGACTTTTAACGTTTTCCTTGGGTCCTTAGTTACTCATATGATGATACTCTTAGTATAGAGGTGTACTTTGAAAGTACTCAGACATGGCAGGTTTTATTACGTGACAACAATGCCTCACCACCCAAGACTACTCTAAAGAGAAAGGAATTAATGGACAAGAAGGCCACCCTGAATGTCCTCATCAGGTCGTGACGCTTCCACACACCACTCCTGCTTCACCGCCTTTCCTAGGAAGTCCTTCCGTCTGCAGAATGTTTTTCCGGCATGGCCTGACTGTACCAAAGGGTGCACTGAAGCCTCCCTCCCTCCCTCCCTCCCTCCCTCCTTCCCTCCCTCCCTCCCTCCCGGGGGAGGGGGGGAGTGAGCTTGGGAAAATCCTGCCCCGTGCCAGGACTGACCTTAACACTGAAGGTGATGGCTTCCATCACAAAGATTCGGTCAGGGAAAACGCTGGCCACCTCCTCCACACTGCTGAAGTATCTCACCGGCTCTCGGACATCTCGAGCCTGCTCCAGGAGCTTGAACTTGCCTGCGGGGGGAGGAGGGGGGGCACAGGCTGCTGGGGAAGGCCAGGCCTGCATCCTAGGAACACCAGGTCTCTGACAATTGCTGTCCTAAACTCATAGTCCCTCTGGGAATTCAGACAGGCAGAAGGCGGGTATACTGACATCCCATGTTAAGTGTCCGCTTTGCCTCACCAGCCACACCCATGTTTGTGCCTACCTACATGAGCTTAAAGGCAGGTTGAGAAGAACTCTAGCTTCACACGGAAAGGAAGAGGTCAGAACAGGAGAGGAACCAACAACGAGGGTGATGGAGGACAGTTCCCTAGTCTGCTGCATCCTCTCAGCAGAGTTCACGCTCACGACACACCCACGGTTGTGTCCGTCTCTCTGGCAGGCCCTTCAGAATGGACAGTTCTGTAAACAGCCTGCTCTCTCAAGAAATTCAGGCATAGTAGGTGGGACAGTAATACCCAGGGATGGCAGCTAGTGACAAGTCCTGAGGCACACCTGTGAGAAAAGAGCTCCAAAAGAGAGGCCTGCCCAGCCCAGTGAGTGGGGGTCCACCAAGCTGCACCTTCCAAAGGAGAGGGACTTTCCAGCACGGACATTTTATTCTGTAAGAAATGAAGGGGGCTGGGGACATGGCCCGCCCCCCTCAGGCTCCGATTCTCAGGGACACTTGTGCAAGCCTGAGAATGGGAGTTCAGATCCCAGCACCCACATGGGAAGCTAGGTGGGAATGGCCGACCATCTGCAATCCCAGCTGGAAGGAGGTGGAGATAGGAAATCTTCAGAGTAAGTCGGCAACCCAGACCAGCAGAAGGGAAGACGCTGCCGCAACGCACAGTGCAGAGCGACGAAAGAAGACACCTGATGCCAATCTTGGGCCTCGGCACTAGTATACATGCATACACATGTGCCCACACACATTGTGGCGTACAGACCTGCATGAACATCACATACACATGCATGTACACACACACACACACACACACACACACACACACACACACACACAATAAAACCAGGGAAAATGAATGAGGCCCCCTGGAGGAGTTTGAGCAAGGAAAACACAGCGATCCAAGATGAGCTCTGGCAAGACAGGCAAACAGCCCCGTAACAAGTCCTGGAGAAGAGCCAGGGAGCAGTGCACAGGGAGCAGATCTATGAGCTCCTCGGGAGGAAGACTCCTCGGAGGCCAGTGACACAAGGAGGGACGTGAAGGAAAGGAGTGAGGGTCATACACATGGCCGGCCCACTGTGGGGATGGCCAAGTCTTCCACGCCGGGAGCTAAGAGGAAGATGGTGGAGGCCTGAAGACCAAGAAGGGCCACTTGTATGTGTGGGGACACCGCTTAGAGCAGCAGACTGACACACCAGTGCAGCCATGTGGGGCAGGGGTGTCAGCAAGTGGGAAAGAGAGTCTTAAACCCTTGGGAACCCGTGACCCAGAAACATGCCCACAATGCTCCTAGTGAAAACACACATTGAAGAGGGAGACTAAGAGGCCCCTGGTGCCTGAAAGCTGCTGGCCAATGGCGGGACCGGAACCACCAACATCCAGCATGGAGCAAGAAAGAGAAAGGGGGACGGGGTGGTGCCCTGGAGCAAGCTGCAGTGAGGGTCCTGGTCCACCCTCAACCTCCCAGACACTAGAGGGAAGAGATGCAGCAGCCCAAGGCATCGGAGATAAAATGAGGAGGGGGCCAGTGTCAGGGCGCAGGAGTCTGACACTCTCTAACCAGCTGTCGTCTCCTCCTCTCCATAGCTACACACGAACCCCCATTCTTCAACCACACGCAGCAGGCATGGAGAATGCCTGCTGCCCCATGGCGAGATTTGGAGCCCGGTCTGGGTTGGATTATGGGAGGATGTGGCAGGGAAGATCGATGTAACCATGGTATCCAGCCCCCGCCCCCCTCAGCCCCGAAGCTGGGTCATTTCTGCAGGGAGGAAGGACGGGAGACCTCCCGGGAGTCATGCTTTGGCCTCTAGAAACCTTCTCTACCCTACAGCTTCCTCCCCTGCCTCCCACAACGGTGTCAGCGGCAAACAAGGCATACAGGATCCGGGGACCATAGCACTGCACTATACCGACCATCCTCTCCAGAAAGGAGCGCCCTACAGCTGCTCCCCAGACCTGACCCACTGCTAAAGAATGGCGGCAGCGACTCAGTTGCTCCTGCCTGGTCAGCACAAGTCCCGATTAGGTGCCTGGCCGCTGTTAGGTGGGAAGGGAGCACAGATTTCAGAGTCGCATGCCACTGAGTCTTGGCTGTGCCACCAATCGGCACGTGCAGTCACTTACTATCCGGACTTTGGTTTCTTATATGTAAAATGGATGCACACTCTTTGGCTCACGTTGGAGAGGAGGGGGCTCACCTGACTAGGGCTCTGCAGAGTCCAAGGCCAAGGCTCTGGAAATAGCCCCTGCTTGGGGAAGGTGTCTGGACAGGCAGCACTGGCCTGGATGTCTCTAGACACCAAGTCACCCTGACTCCCTGCAGCCTAGAGACAGAGGGCGGCCACAGTGGCAGCACCCCCAGCCCCGCCCCTCCCCCGCCGGCCACAGCCGGCCTGGACAGTGTCATTATTAATTCATTGGGAGGGCTCAGTGTGGAGCCTGTACTCTGAGCCTCTTTGGAGGCCCAGCCCCCTCTTTTTCACTCCCATGAAGTGAGTGAGGCGCCCAGCGGAAGAGGGAGCTGGGGCCCCGCAGGCCCTACAGGCCAGCTGTCACCCCTCTGTCCTGTCCCCACCTCCCATGCTCACTAAGGAGGCATCAAAATGGATGGGGCAGAGGCTTGGGGCCTTCCCTCCCTCCATTCAGGGTTTTCTGGGAGCTCTGTGACTTGGTTTCCCAGGATTTTAAAGACACCAGTGAAAGGGAAGGCTTTCCCAAAATGATGGGGGGTTTTAGCCCACGAAGGTAGGGCCAATGCCAAATTCTCGGCTAGGGGAATTTCTAGCTTGAACAGGCACTAAAAGCCTGAAGCCAGGATAGAACCCCAAGTCAGCCAGATCCTTGGTGCAGCTTCCTCCCTGGGGGGTTGGAAGGACAGAGGCCAGCCCTGAAAGTGTGCAGATCAAACCTGGGCCAAGGTTTAAGCCTTGTCCCACTGCCTCAAGGAAGGCCCAGGCCAGAGAGAGCAGTGGTTAGACCAAGGAGGGAATGGGAGCCTTCCTGGCTCCTAAGGCTGCAGCCCTTGTTGGGGGCAGGGACAGAAGAGCTGTACAGGAGAGAAAAGCCCAGACTTGGAGCCTCACTCTTCAGATAAAGGGAGCGAAATGTTGAGAACAAAACGATGATGTCCGTCCCCCAACCCAAGATCTGGAATGCACTAGCTGCAGCTGCCCTGGGCTTGCGTGGAGACATTCCTGGGATGGCGCTGGACTGGTACCTTGAGGACCACAGCTCTGTGTGCTGGCGTGGTACAGCAAGACGAGTCCAGTGGTTAGGATACATGGCTGAGTGGCCCCCGTCACTGCAAAATCGAAGTGCTACACTTCTTTTTTTTTTTTTTCTTGGTTTTTCGAGACAGGGTTTCCCTGTGGCTTTGGAGGCTGTCCTGGAACTCACTTGGTAGACCAGGCTGGTCTCAAACTCACAGTGATCCACCTGCCTCTGCCTCCCGAGTGCTGGGATTAAAGGCGTGCGCCACCAACGCCCGGCGTGCTACACTTCTTTTAGCAGTAGATTCTGTCTTCACACAAAACCTTTCGTAAAACGCCAAGAGCCAGGCCTGGTGGCGTGGTGCCGGCCTGTAACCCCAACCCACTCAGGAGTAGCACCAGTTCAAGACCTGCTTAGACGACAGAGCAAACCCAGGCAACTTACCAAGACCATGCCTCAAAATAAAAAGATAGCTGAGATGGTTCAGCAGTGACCACGCTTTACAGCCACACCTGAAGACCTGTGCCCCACACGGTAGAAGCCGGGAATGTGCAACCTGATCCCTGATGTCCGCATGTGCTGTCACACACATGTGCAAACACACACACACATAATGAATGAATAAAAAATCTAACAAAAGTTAAAAAGGTAGGATGAGGATGTACCTCAGAGGTAAAGCACTTTGCCTGGGATGCACGAGGTCTTAGTTTTAACCCCAGTACCTCAAACGAATAAAAAACAGATATGAAAGACATGAAAGTAGGTAGTTAGCGAATTCTTTAGAAAGCTAACACCTCAGCATTGTTTAAAGAGCCGGTCCAGGAAGACTGTAAGTTTAACACAACCCTGGGGGAGGCGGGGTGTCCAAGCTAACAGGCAGCCACAAGCTGGCCTCAGCAATCCTGGTAGAAGGTTCTAGTAGACATTCCCTTTGTTTGCACTTGAAAGCGTTAAGGGCAGCTTAGGGCACAGCCTTGACGCTCTCCAATTAGGGAAAAAGTTTGATTTGGAGTGGCTTAAATCTGTGGGTCCATTTTGACAGCTGTGGTCCCCAGCACTTGAGAGGCAGAGGCAGACAGAGTTCTGTGAAGTCAGGGTCAGTCTGATCTATAGAGTGGGACCCGGTCTTTGAAAAAAAAAAAGTTACAGAGAAACCCTGTCTGGAAAACAAAACAAAACAAAAGTATATCTTAACCATTACTTCAAAATATGTTTAAAAATATAAATAAAATGTGACCTGGCACAACGGCTCCAGAGGCTGAGGCAAGAGGCTAGACATGAGTTCAAAGACAGCCTGAGCTATATGGTAAAAAGCCTGTCTAAAACATAAAGTAAGAATCTAAAGTCAGCCGGGCGTTGGTGGCGCACGCCTTTAATCCCAGCACTCGGGAGGCAGAGGCAGGTGGATCTCTGTGAGTTCGAGGCCAGCCTGGTCTACAGAGCGAGTTCCAGGACAGCCTCCAAAGCCACAGAGAAACCCTGTCTCGAAAAAAAACCAAAAAAAAAAAAAAAAAAAAAGAATCTAAAGTCAGTAAACCTGAGTGCCACCTCTTCAGAAACAAGTCTCTCCAAACAGTATTGAGACTCCTAAGCCCTAACTCTAACCACGACCCCTGACCCCTAGCCATCACCCCACTAGCATGTCCTAGCTCATCCCTGAAGCTCCAAAGGAAGGTGATCTTCGATGGCTTCTGCTATACATCCCCCCCCTGCTCCTTGGTCCTAGTCTCTCCTGATTCCCCATGCTCCAAGATCCTGAGGCATCTGGCCCTAGCTGGACACACCTGGGTACTGCAGGGGAATGTCAATCTTGGGCCCAATGACGTAGTGGCCCTCCTCCAGGGTGTGGGCCGTCACTGTTGTCCACTGGCGGCAGGAATGGATCAGCAGGATGTCACGCTCACTGACGCCCTCAGCATACTCCCCTGGGTATGAGACAGGAAGAGGGCAAGAAGAGGAATGGTTAAGAGAGGAAGAAAAGACTGGGTGACCCCCCCTCCTCAGCAAGCCCCTGCCCGGGAATTGCGCCCCGTGACCCCTGCATTGCTCAGCCACACTGGGGGGTGGGCAGTAGTGGGCTGTCATGTTGTGGCCTCTGGTTGTGAGTCCAGCCTGAACCTCAGAGCCCTGACTCCCTGCGGGGCCTCCACAATGATAGCATCCACAGCATCTCATTCATCATCCTACTGCAATGTCTGCGGTCCCAGTCCAAGCCGGGGCTAGGGACTCCCAGTGGATGAGTCCTGGCCAGCCAGCTCCTGCCCTCCAGGCACGTTCAGGCCTCAGGAGGCAGGGAGGAAGCAAGTTTGAAGCACTGAGCTGAGGGCATGTAGGGACGTGGGGGAGGGGGGACGTCATCGGCCTGCGTGGAGTTAAGAGAGACTTTGCTCTTGAACCGGGCAAATTCACGCCAGTAGGATCCTGCCTAGGCAGTGCCCAGTCTAGGCACGGGCAGCGCTGAGACGGGACCTGTCCCTGTGGGTCCTGTCTAGGAGAGCTCACAAAGTCGCTGTCAGCTCACAGGAACTCAGTCTCACGGTCACGGGACCTCAAAGGACGGGGGAGTGAACCCTGGACACCCAAATCTCACCTTGAGAAACCACTCCTTAAAGCTGGGGCCGGACACGCAGGGGATTTAGGAAACACGAAGGGGAGGAGGGAAACCAGGCTTCACCAGGCAGCGCTGGGGCAGAGGTGCTGGAGTTGGGAGGGGCCTGGCCCCCGGAGGCTCCATCCCCAGCAACGGTTTCCAGGGGAGCAGGACTTGCAGCCCGGCTTCCAGGAGACTGATGGGGCGTATCCTGGATGCAGCTGGTGGGCACAGTGGGGGTGGGGATGTCTCCTTCCCAGCCCCCCCCAACACACACACACACCCATGGAAACGGTTTACTCTAACAGTGGGGGGTTCATAAAACATGTCCAAATGGCATGTATGAATGGGTGCGGTATCGGGGGCCTTCGGGGGCCTTCAAGGGAGGACGGTCCACTCTGTGGGCGAGAGCTCGCCAGGGGAGTTTGTCTGAGACTTCCTCCTCAGCTCCCTAGCTCCTGGAAGAGATGAAGGTCTGCAGTCTCCAACTCTACAAGCTCTTTCCAGGCCCCACCCACTCGTCCACAGGGACACAGGCCAAAACCACACAGGTATACACACCAGGGGTCGCCACCACCAACAGTTCAAATGCCTGTCACCTAAACAGCACAACTCAGTGTCAATATCCCACCAAGGGACGATTCCTGAATGCATACCCACGAGGGTGCCTCCAAGGCCACACCGTTTCAAGTATACATTCATACTGTAGTGGTGACCACAGTCATAACCACGCGGTCACAGGCACCATTGCTCATTCATTCATTCATGGCCCTCCCCCCAAACCCAGGAGGCCGGTGGCAGGCAGGAAACTGGCAACTATAATGGGATGCACAGGTGTCCGGGGAAGGCAGAGGAGGCCCAGCCTATACAGAAAAGGACTCAAAGAAAGGGGTGTCAAAGAGATGCGTGGGAAGTCAGCAGGAAGGACCTAGGGGAGAGTTCCCTATTCACGAGCAGACACAGCCCAGCTGCTCACACAGCCCTGGGGTCACACGCTGAGCGGAGAGTGAGGTCCCACCAGAGTTGGACTGCCGGGAATCCCTGCTAAGGGACCCGGACACCGAGGTCCCGCAGAGCGTGTTCCAGCCAGCCTGGTGCCCACTGTACCCAGTTCCTGCTGTTGCCGGTCGGAGGAGGGGCTGCCAGTCCAAGAAGACAGCGCAGGAGTCCCATTAGCATTCAGGGAAGCGAGTGTGCCAACGCGGGCCAAACCTCTATTCTTCTCACACACAAAACCCCCCGGCCTGGCTGCCAGCCCCGGCTCCCGCCCCTCCCCCAGCCAAGCAGCTCCCCTTTCCACCAACACTACAGTCCTCTCGCTCTGTGCAACCTTCAGGCTCTCCCAAACAAGGTCCCGGTCCCATCATCGCAACACCGGGGGACTGCTGGAGAAAGGGAACGAGAGGTGGGGGAGGGCCGAGGGTCCTGCGCTGGGGGGGCGCCTAGTGGGCCGGCTCACTCAGGCCTCTCCCTCCTGAGGGTAACCAGAGGACCTTAGGATGCCAAAG